CACGGCTGAATTGTGGTGGTAGTGGTGGTGGTGCAGATTCGGGAGCGCAGATATGTCGATGCCAGTCTCACACGGAGATCCGAACTGGACAGTTAGTCGCGCTTTCTCTGCACTTACTGCTAGCGTTTTGTCGACGATACGGGCTACGTGACACCGATCGATGCTTCGATTCTCACGGTGTCTATCGCTGTGTGTGTGTGTGTGTGTGAGTGTGTGTTGTTTTTTCACGGGGATCCGCAACGACTTAATCCATCGCCGAACTCATCAGCTGGTGGTGGTGCTCTTCCTGGTGCGTGATCTTGTCGACGACTGTGATTCTGATCCGTCATGAGAGGTTTTGTTGGATTCTTGCTCGTTTTGTTTCGCTTTGGATTCTTGGTTCGATGAAAAGCTTCAGGAAATGATTTGTAAAATGATCTCTTTTTCAAAGTCCAAAAACTTTACTTATTCATTCATGTGTGTGTGTATATATATATATATATCCAGGTAGGTAGGTAGGTATACAAAAATATAAATCAGTGAGTAAGCAATTATTCTGTATTAATAGGCTTATTGAGGTATGGGCTTATATCATTCATTCATACATGTGTGAGTGTGAATGAATGATTGAAAGTGTTGGTTTTGAGCAAAACTTATTTAGATATAGTTATTAAATAAATGATTTAATTAGAACATATAGTCATTGGCTTTAACATCCAAGTAACATCCAAGTACCAAGGATTGTTGAAAAAATTAATGATAAAAAATAAAAATAAATAAATTATATGTTTTTATAAAATAATATTTATTAATTAATAATTTAATGTATTAATATTGGTTTCTTTTTATTTCATGTAGAAGACCCATATTCCATATTTCTGACATTGGTAACAAATAATATATGCATTTGCAAAATACATTGTTTAAATTTTGTAAGAAAGTTTTATGTGTTAAGGTCAAAAAGAAGAAAATCTTTAAAATATTTGTTGGTTTTTCTTGTTCAACAAGTATTTTTCAACATTAGAAATACAAATCTTGAAAAAAAATTATATTTAAAAAAATCTTGTTTTAAGATATTAGATTATTATTTTGAGTTTATAAATTTTAAATTTTAAAATTTTAAATCTTGAATGTTACTTTTATAGTTTTAAATGCACTCCAAAAATCGTGTAGTATAGCCAATAATAAATTAAAGTATTATACTTAGCAAACATTAAATTTATAGTCTTATTTCTTTAAGAATTTAATTTCTAATTTTAATAATTTGATAGATATGTTTAATATTGTTTGTAATCAAGCATTATAAAAGACCTCTTGATTAATTTATTAGAGATGTTTTGTTAAATAGTTTATAAGATTTTTAATTTAATTCCACACCAATATTAATGTAGATAAATTTTACAATAAAATCAAGATTTATTTTTTAATGCAAAAGTTTATTATTATAGATTTTATTATCTATCAAATTTATAGTATGATATTGAATGAATTTTCTAAATTTAAATACAACTTTAGAATCATTTTATTACTCTCTATAACTTTCTTTTGTTCAAACTATCTTGAATTTTATTAGTTCATACAAAATAATTGTCTATAAATAACAAATTAATTTTAAAGCAAAATTTTGTAAAAGAAGCCATACTTAAAGGGATTTTATACTTGTATTAAAAATAGAAATAGAAATAAATAAATAAATAAGAAGATGCTCTAGTATTATATAACAATATAAATAATACAATTAAGCTTAAAAAAATTATTATATAATTTTTTTATAATTCTAACATCTTTTTTATATATTAAAAAGTAACTATCATAATAAAATGATGTAGTTACTTTTATAACTACAACTATAAATATTTAAATATAAGTAATAAATATATATTTGCTAATATAAAGTTTTAAATTTAACTAAAGATAAATTAAGTATACCTAATTACATGAAAGAAACAGAAAGAGAAAAAAAAATATAATGAGAGAGATATATTTTTAGATTTAAAAATAATTCCATGTTGACAATTTAGTATATGTTAGTTGCAACATAACTTATATCATTTTTATTTTTAAATATTTTAACAACATCCATAAAATTTTAACAAACAAACAACTTTTTTTTTTGGATATAATTTATTATTTTGAAAAATAAAATAAAATAATATAGTATAATATAGTTTTGTTATGTACATATAATTTAGAATTGTCACATTACATTTAGAGAGTTGTTAAAGCCACACTCTAATGTTATTAAAACCACATCTCATGATTGATTTTGTCCATCTTCCATCCTGTTCCTTGTTCCATGTCCCTCATTCTCTATTCCTTGCCTCTATCTATGTTCCCTATCCTCCAAAATTAATCATCAAATAGTTTGGGAGATGTGGCTTTGACAACTCCTTAGATATATATATATATATATATATATATATACACACATATTAATTTAAAAAAAGAAAAAAGAGAGAAAAAAATAATATTTAAGATTTCATTTTATTTACAAAAGTTGTAATTTTTACATTTAACTAAAAGACCTAATATATGTATATATATATATATATATATATATACATATTTCTAAAGAAGAATAATGTTTTAGGGTTAAAAGCCAAGAACCATAAAAAAAGCACCATGAAAAGAAGCAAGACAAAAATAAAAGGTGCAAAAATCTACACCTAAAAAATTAAGAAGTGGATGGAGCACTCATTCAAGGTCCTATTTGAAGGGTTGTCTAATTCTTCTTCCTCCTCCTCCTCATCCCTTTTTTAGGGTTAGGGCTAAAAATGAGCAACAAGAAAGCATCATGAAATGCGGAAGGGAGGCAGAAAAAGGGGGGGTTTGGACGGAGAGTTGCCCCTCTCCCTTGCTCCATGTGGGGGGCGACAACCCTACTACTCTCACACACACCACTACTAGCAAGCAAAAGCAAAAGCAAGAGCAAGCAAGCAAGTATGGTTCAGGGGGGAGGGCGTAGCTGCAGCAGCAACTCCACTCTCCTTCATCACCCAACACGGTGGCCCTTTTCCACAAAACACCAACATGATGATGATGATGCAAGTGTGTCCTTCCCCTGCACAATGAAATGCTACTTACATGCTCCGGGCACCTGTGATTACAAGCCCCACTCTCATGAGAAGCAGGAAAAGAAGAAGAATACGAAGAAGAGTAGTGACGCATGGCTTCCTCCTCAGCAGACAACTTGATTAACATGATCAACCTGATCTCGACCAGATCGATTATCGAGAAGCAGTGGAAGCTACATTGATCGATCGATAGGGAGACCGATCCGGGAACGTGGTTGTCCTATTTTTATTTTTATTCTATTTTATTCTTCTAGTAGTTGTTGTTGTTGGGAGGTGGTGTTATATTGAGTTCGATGGGGTGTATTTTTGTTTTTCTTGAAGATCGGGTGCAACAGGGAGTGTGGGCTCCGACCACGGCGCCCGGGGTTCAGAGATCGACGACCCACAGGTGGAGAGGGGGGCGGGGAAAGAAGGTGGGGGCTGCTGGGAATGCCCATGGATGATCCACGGCGCCCCATCATCCATCCACGATCAACTGATCATCGACTAAATTTGGCCCCTGTAATGCTCCGCAAATGCGGCTGATCCTTGTCCGCGCCATCCGACTTCTCACTGGATGCATGATCTCTCAAGTCAATCATCTCTCCAACCACACTCTTCCTCCTCCCCAACCCCCGCTTCCTATTGCCCCTTCCTGCCTGCAAATGGGCTCTCTTCAGGTCAAATATCTGGAATAAGAAATCGCGCAATGATTTTCTACAGCCCCAGGGAACGATTCGGCTCTAGTGGGCAGCAGACGGCATCAGCAGGAAGTTTAGCGTGTGAGAGCAGGAAGAGTGAGGGTTTCCGGAATACATTTCAAGACAGTGTCAGAGCCTGAGTTTTGGTTATTTAATCTAATTTGATTTTTTCTTGCGTGTTACCTGAATTTTCAGTGAAATAGTTACCTCAACTGTTACCGATCCAGAGTGATTTCGAACACGCTTGCGGTAACAAAAACTAATTGTGGTAGATATCTTTTTACACATGTGTGTGGGCACATATATGTATGTATATATACGCATATAAATAGATAAAAACTTTTCCGGGACGATGTTACGTCATAACCTAATTTTAAACACTGCCATTAGCGGTATCCCTGATGTTCCGAAATACATTGGCAACAAGTCAATAGTCCTAAAATTAGTTCCAAATGTCATTCTCATTTACGCAGCCGCCACATTTAGCCATCGGTAAATATAGTTCAATTCTGACACCGTGCTTGACTCTTTCTAAATATACAGTTAATTGATCCGAGCTCATTTAATCATTTGCACATGTATTCGAACCCGGAATAGTAGAGTCCATACCTTGGGTGTTACCAACAACTTTGCAGCACTGAAGCTGCAAAATTTTCTTCCCTCAACATCAACAATTATTATAAAGTATCTTTGAATGATGAATAAAGAAATGGGGATTTATTGGAGAGTTCCTGTACCGAAAAGGATAGGGTATTCTTTGTCAAACATGGGATTATCACCCGAGGTTTCTTGTACAACTGAATGAGCAGTGATGATGGTAACAAGAACTCTCTTTATTTGCCAGTACAACACTGGCCTAGATTCTGGACACCCTCAAATCATTGTTATATGATCAGGGGGATGTTGCTCTCACTGCAGCATCCCAAGATAAACAATCTCTGTTTTCGCAAGTAAAAGAATTCGAGAAAGGTCAGAACCCCAGAGGTGAAAACTGACGCAACTGGATTGTAAAGCAGTGGAGTTGGCAGGAGAGGTTCATACAGCCAGCCCTGCTCGGTCCTCTGCAGCTTTGTGATCAACCGATGAGGTCTGGGGACCACTGGCAAGCTTTTGCTCGCGGTAGTGTCCATCGTCCATTCCTACATCAGTCCTTTAACTTACTTCCGGCTTTGGCAACCTGTCGATCTCCGTCCCACTGTGGGTCCGACGCTACCCAGCTCAGCTTCTAAGTTTGTCACTGGTGTCGCATGTATATGTACCTAGAAGGGTACAGGCGGGCTGCCTATCATGGCTTGGCTACTCCAAGCATTTGAGATTAATTCTAAATTCTGCAAACAATCGATCGCAATATAGTCTCACTAGATTTGGGTAGGATGGTTGAGTGTACCTTCATCTTTCTACCTCATCATCGCACTGTAGTAGTGAGCGATCGGGACATGCAGCGATCGTCGAGGCCACTGCTGCTCTGGCATGTATAGGTTGGATGTCGCGTTCGCGGTTAGTTTACAGGCGGAGATCTCTGACTCCAAGGCCCTGAGAGAGCCTCCTCAGTTACACGGTGGTTGTATCTGCACGGAGTGGTTCCGGTGCTTTGCATAATTTCTCCTCAAGTCTGTTTCCTGTAGGTTTCTAAGAGACTTCTTTGAGACCACATTCTCTCGCATTCCTTGTGCCAGCGTCGCTTGGTAATGAAGCACTTACTTGTTGCATCTCGTCTTGTTAAGCTTGAACTTGTCTCTGTTTTCGAGCGCTGCACTTATGACTTGCAGGGTCAACACGAGATGTTCGATCTATTAGACATTCTCAGGTGAACGAGTCAGGAGACTAGTGCCGGATTCGTGTTAAAGTGTAACTTTTGCAGTTTTTCATCAGTCAGCTTCTGTTTGCTGCACGCAAGTTAGTGTTCACCAGTCCTTAGACTTACGTCTGTTGGATTTCAAATGGTCCCAGTTGTAATCCTGTGACAAGTGTAGACATAGTCTCTAAGAAGCAAGCTACTCTCTGCTTGCGTTTCAGTTGCTTTGTAGCTGATCATTTCCCTCCGGAGTCTCCAACAGGAGAAAAAGGAATTTGAAGTTTGGTTGTGCACATGTCTGGGTATGTGAAAATCTTCATTTGGGAAGCTCGCGACTTTGCCATTTAACAAAAGACACTTGACACCTTTTTCAATTTCCGAAAAAATGACTGCCACTCACGTTGCAAGTAACAAGAGATCATCCACCTCATTCCCCGAGTTCGTCACAGCCCCTTGTAAGCGATGGAAATCCGAAGCGGCCTGGCATCACGTGGAAGAAATAGTGCCAGAGCCACCGCCTGCACAGGATTTTGATCTCAAGGTAAAAACCTGCTATTCAAATATGGTGCACCCAGAGCCCACGTCGGTGTTGGATTTGCAAACCAGTCCAGGACGGTCTTGCTCGTCGACGAGCCTGAGCTCGGGGACGGACTCCCCTCACTCCGTCTCCACAGACTCTTCCAATTTCTCCACCACTCTGCAACAAGTTGAGCAAGATGACATCGCTAACTGGGTGGACTGCATGGGTTTGCCCGAATTTGAAGAATGTGGGCGTCCTTTGGAGGAGGTTCTAAAGTCCGACATCGACTTCAATACCACTGACATCGACTTCGGCTTCGAGATGACAAGTTTGGAACATTGCAGTGCCGTTGCGGAGCATGATTTCTCCGTGAGCCTTTTGTCTGACTTCCTCGGGGAGCCCGATGAGAATCTCCTTCTCCCGGAGAGCTTCCACTATGCAAAGAGGTTGCAGGAATTAGACGATTCACTATCGTCAATGTTGAATGAGGTACGATCGAGCGGCTCAGACTCGGAGAGCAGCATCCCGACGACAGCCGAGCTCGTTAGACTTGTTGAAGCGCAGTCTTGCGAGGACTTAGGAAGACAAAGAGCTTGTGGCGCCAGAAACCACCACCACAGCCGCGCCGGGAGCTTGGGCTCGACGAGCGAACCGCAGACCTTGCAGCAGCCTGAAAACAGCGGACTGCAGCTGGTGCATCTACTGTTGGCGTGCGCTGAAGCGATTGACAAATCCCACTTTCACAAAGCAAATCCTATTTTGGACCAATTGGGCAGATTCTCCAACGCTTACGGTGGCCCCATGCAACGAATCGCTCTCTACTTCGGAAACGCCCTCAGCAATCATCTCGCCGGGGTTGTCAGCCCCACTGATCCCCACTCGCCCTCAGATTCCAAGTTCGCGTACCAAGCCTTCTACAAAATTCTTCCGTTCGCTAAATTTTCACATGTCACGGCGAATCAGACCATATATGAGGCAGTTCTGAGGAGCCAGAACGTTCATGTGGTTGATTTGGACATTCAACAGGGACTGCAGTGGCCATGCTTCATACAGTCCCTGGCCATGCGCCCTGGGGGTGCTCCTCACCTCAGGATCTCGGCGGTCGGGATGAATATGGAGAGTTTGCAGACAACCAAGCGGTGGTTAACAGAATTTGCTGAAGACCTCAAGGTGCCATTCGAGTTTACCCCAGTTCTCTCGACTTTGGAGAATCTCACCCCAGCGATGTTGAATATTCGGGCTGATGAAGATTTGGCCATCAACTGCTCCCAAGTGTTGCACACACTCTCCGGAGACGAGGCCGTTTTAGAAAAGTTGCTGTGCATGTTTCGTAACCTAAGACCGAATGTGGTGACACTGCTGGAGGCCGAAGCTAACTATAATGCGGCCTCGTTCATTACGAGATTTATCGAGGCACTGCACTATTACTGTGCGCTGTTCGATTCTTTGGAAGGAGCGTTAGGTCGCGACAGCGCAGACAGATTCCATATTGAGAGCACGGCATTTGCTGCCGAGATTAATGATATCCTCGCAAGTAAGGACAGTAGTCGGCGTGTGCGACATGTGAGGTCAGAGACATGGCGAGCCTTGTTTAAGAAAGCTGGATTTCGATCTATGGCTTTCAGTTCGTATACTGTACGGCAAGCTCAGATGCTGCTGGAGATCTTGACCTCGAAGCACTTGATGCAAGCTAACTCTCCCATACCGTATAAACTTTCAGAGGAATCAACATCTCTGATTTTAGGGTGGCAAGAAACTCCTGTGATTGGTGTGTCTGCTTGGAGTTGTTGACACCCTCGAATGGGAGCCCTAAACAATTAGATTGAAAAACTGTGCATAATTGTACCAGTACTTGTCAGTTAGGCGGCTGTCGTAGGTTTAGGCGGTGATGAATGAAGCTTGCGGTGGAAGCTCTGAGGTGGTGAGATCATACCGCCAGTGACGAGATGAGCCTGCACCATGCGCAATCTTCGCTCGAGTAGTTGTTCTAGTAAAGTATCAGTGTATATAAGTTCATATAATCGTGTCAGACTGGTGGGATCACGGTGCCAACTTTGTTCCATCGCAGATTTCTCTTCGCCCATAGTGATTTACATGTTACAATGCATTAAGCAGTCTACGAAAAAATTAAACTCAGTAATGTTCCGTCAGGCTTTCAGCATCATTTCTTGTACACAAGCACTGAGCAATTATTAATTGAACAAGCATCCAAGAATCAGTTCAATCCACATAAGCACAGGAATCTAAATAAGATAAGTGGACCCTTGGCTACTTCAGAGTTGCTCTGAAAATGTTCCTTGACCTGCCGTAAACATTGCCTCCTCAACTTCTAAAACATCATCACTTGCCACTGACTCTGCAGAGAATTCATTACCAGCACTCAGAATGTTAACACCAAGAAGAACAAAACACCGTCAAGACCCTGTTCAGAGTTGAAGCAGTACTAACAGAGAAACCTCACTTGCCTCCAAAGACTGTTCCTGTCTCAATGCCCCCGCAACCACCTGAAAAATTAATCCTTAACTACAATGCAGCTGAAGTCTCAGGCCTGCAATCAGTGACTTCCACCTCTACAGCTGAAGCATTAGTTTGCTGACCACTAAGTGTACTGCATGTCAGGGTTCATTAGCACGAAATGAAACAAAGAATGCAGTTGGAAACATTTGAGGCAAACCGCATCTGTACAGAAAAGTAGCTACAGTTAATAACATCAAACTCTTGAGGCAAACCCTGCAACGTTCAATCACAAAAATTCTGCCATAAAAAGGGTTTAGTTCAAAGGGTTCATCATTCACAAGTAGGGTTTCAGCGCTTGGCACTGTTCCTCCTCGGCACCTGACTATTACTGGGCAGTGTACCATCCGCGAAGGGGTTTGGGGAGGAGGCCACACTGGGAGGTTTCCGTGACGGTGGGGAATTGGGGCTGAGAGATTTCTGGGAAAGGGGGAGACTGCCTCGCTTTGTAGAAAGGGAGTTGCTGCCTGAGGAAGGCACATTGGTTGTTGGTGCTGAACCTGATGAAGCAGGGGGTGTAAACCCACTAGTACCTAATTGTGACTTGGTCCTGCTTAGAGTTGCCGACCTGGAGCTCTTCCCCGAATCAGTGCCCTGCCGCGGAGCGTTTGTTTTACTAGTGGATCCCTTTTTGGAAGCATTGGAGGAGCTTGAATCAGATGCAGATGTTGTCGAACCACTTCGACCTGTAGCGTCTGCACTCGACTTTCGCAGACTCTCAATCTTGGCCCGTTGTAAGTTGTCATCCATCTTACGCTTTTCCTCCTGCCAGAGGATAGTCCAACCGAAGGCCTCTGTTTAATTTTTTAAAATAAAAAGAATGGACGAAGACAGGACATCATAATCCTTTAGTATTACATGCGTGGAAACGGCAACATTGTGCATCGAAGGCGCCTTAAACTACATATCTGCATGATACATGCAAAAGTTGTGAAGTCCCTTCCAGATACTGTACCTGCTCTTCTTTGCTAAGCATGTTCCATTCCTCGTCCTCACGAAGTTTGTCCATTTTCTCATATTCATCCTGCAGAAGTTGGCACCCAAGTTTAAGTCCTCTAAAATTAATCAATCTATCTTAGGAAGTCAACCTTACTGGAGGCCCACTCTAAAACACAACGTACAGAGCTGCTAATTATGTTACCTGAGCAGAGGGGTGATCATGTGATGGATCCCTGTCGAGGACGAAAACTCGTTTCTGACTATCAGAAGCAATGCGTGCAGCCTCTACTACTTCACGATCAGTGTCGTTCAACCTCTGGGTAGCCAGGTGGTTGATTCTCTCAAGTAGAGCCACATCATCAGGGAGTCTTATTACTGTCCTAAGAGGGTTGATTATCTGACAGGCTCTCATTCGAATGCTCGGCACTGGATCCTGGAATCCTCGCATGATCCACAACAGAGACGAAACATGTCAACCTAGGGGGTATTTGGGATGCTATCATGTGGACTATTTCCATGAGAAACCACAAGGGATACTATGGTGTTGACAGACAAACCTGGAGGGCATTGATGGCCAACTCCAGGAAGCTCTCTTTGAACATACGAGAACTCGCAACTCTGCAGCTCTACAATAAAAAACTAAGTTAGCATGTGAATTATTTGATTTGAAAAATACAGAATCAAATAAGCTAACAGTCTGAGCATGGCGGTTTCAATTTTATGCAAGATAGCTGCGGAGGAATCTCCAACGTTATTGAATAATGCGTAGAAAAGTTTCTGCTATAGAAATTCATTTTCACTGAGGGGTTGGTTTACCTGAGAAAACTCTCGCAGAAGTCGATGTAAAGCAAACGCGACCAATAGCTTTGCCCTTGCCCATACTCTTTCACCACTTTCTGTGCAAGTTCATAACGCTGCTGAATCTTGCAGTTATTCCTGAAGATTTGATAGAATATTCAATTAATAACTCAGCTGAGCAATACCTCTTCGCATAACATTCTAGGCTTATAATCGAAAGTTCCTCAACAGCAGTGAAAAGAGCCACGCAACAAAAATATGAAACGAATCTCCAACCAATCATCTGAGAGAAGAAAACGATATTGTACCGGAGAAACACAGCAAGCGCTAAAGCCGCTGAAATCTTGACCGGTGGTACACCATCCGCCATATAACGGAAACAAATAGGCACAAAATTCTCGTAAATCTGGTCACTGGTCAAGTACTCCTGCAGACATCAACACGGGATAAGAAATCATCATTGGGCCCCAAACCTCGAGTTCTCTGAACACCATAAAAGGAGAGTACATGTACGTGTTCAAGATGTTTTCGAGCATAGAAGAGTAGAGAGAAGCTTTACTGCTAGTAGTGGAAAAGCTTGGAGGAGAGAGCGCTGCATCCGCCATTGATTGGTGCCACTAACGCTCTTCTCAGCTTGCAGCAATGAAGGAATCATGTTTGCGTAGGTTGTGGCTTTTGACTGTGTATTCGACACACTGAAGTGCCCTGGTGGAATCCAGCCCACCAAATTCTAATCTCTGAGTCAAAGTTGCGTTCACACGAATTCAATACGTAAGCCAATGCGTGCCTGGCGAGCTTTAAGCCTAAAAATTTCATCGCCCCCTCGATAAAGGGAGTTATCAAACCTAAGACAACGTGAAGGATGCCGAACAGCTTGGACTGCACAAGCAGAGCCGGGTCCTTCAATAGACTGTAGAAGCTTTCTCTCAAGTAAGAAGCTGTACGCTCTTTACCAAGGATCTTTGCCACCTGCAAATTGAACAATCGCATAGAATTGGTGTGCTAGAGAAAGGACATCCACGGGTACAGAAGTGAATGAGACCTCTCAACACGTCAAGACTACCAACAGACATAAAGAGCCGAGTCCTTTAATGAGTAAGAAACCGATTTCACAGACATGATTGTGATAAAATGAAATACAAACCTCATGTAAGCAGGCAGCTGCGGTGCAGCGAACAATTGGAGATGTATCTTGTATATATTGGAGATAGGTGGCATGTAACATAGTTGAGTATTTGCGTGCACCAATTGTCTTCAGAATGGCAGGAAAGTTGTAAGCACAAAGCTGCAATACAACACGAATCCCTCAAAAATTAGCGTGATCAACCTAGCAGTGTGCATGTCTTGATTTAAAAACCACCACCGGCAACTTCAAGCGACAATCACTTCATTAAAATCTTACGAAAATAAACCAAACTCAAATATTGATTGTTTCACAAGGAGAGTCTTCTAACAGAAGTAAATCAGTGCACGCAAGTTTCCTCTGACTGTACCTGACGCACGTCCTCATTGGCTTGCTGAGACAATATTTTATACGCGTCCAGCAAGAGCGTCGCTTCATCTTCTAATAAATCTGGCACCATCTGCAAGCATGTAACAACTAAGCTTCTCAAACATTAAGCAGCAGATGGGGTCTTAAATGAGTACTGTCTTGGAAGCAAAAGTGTTTGCAAACCAAGATACAACACAAAAGAAGACAAGCTGAAGCAAGAGCTTGCAAGGTTCAGAGTCCAAAATGGCTTTTGTTTACTATCAAAAAGTTGGAACGTGGTAGAGGGAAGAGAGTGCATGAGAATGGGCTTCTATAAAATGACATAACTGTCTTGCTTGTGCCGGTCTGTTCTCAAAATCAACCAGAGCATTTAAACATATTCCGAAACGTGCAAACCTAATCACAAGTTTTGTGTGGCTGACCTTTATGATAATGTCTCCAAGTAATCTGGCAAGGCAGACATGCATAGCAGCATTCCCCTCATCACATAATCTGCAGTAGGTAGAAATCACAAGAAAGTAAATAAATAAACAAAGAACAAAATAAAAACAAAACAAAAGGACAAAAAGACACAGTTCTTGAACATTATACTGATTAATCTAGCGATAATACAGTAACCTGACATTGGTTTGGCCCACAATAGTTCACGCGCAAGGACAGTTATGACTTTGATAGTACAATGCAGAGGGTAGAAATCGTTCACTTTCGCAACTTGTTATGTGTGGTCCAATACTCTGGAAGAGACCAGATCTCTTAGACTTGTATTGTATGTGTATTCAAGTGACGACAACCAATAGGTGGGTTCATTTTATGTGATTTCACAAGGGCGTTGTAACCATTGCTATCAGATGTTAGTGTCGAAACCGTTGCCACTAAAATCAACAAGGTGGCACAGGATTTTGAATTAATTCGCAGGGGGTATTGACGAGTCTGACCAGCTTGAGGGAGGCAATATACTGAGCAAGAGGAGTTGAGGGGCGCACGAACGGAGGAACGGCAACACTTGAATCTGACGAATGTCAGGGGGTAAGAACCCCAGCAACTGCACCAGACTTTCCACCGCTGCGGACTGTACCACCAATTCTTCGTCTCTCAGCAATTCATTGAGCTCCGGAAATACAAATATCTGCACGTAGAACAACAAATTGTCGAATCATTCTGTAGAAGTTGAGTTTGTTCCATTAATAGATGTCCTGAAAAAGATTGTCTGATGCGAGGAAAGAGACATATCATCGTCACACAAGCACGAGGCTCCTACGAATATTATGGTGCTACTCCAATGATATAACTGAAGTTACTGGATTGTGGTGTTACCATGAAGGTGTTCAAACCAACAGATCGAGAAATGTTGTTAAGCTGCTCGCACATGCACGTCCGCACTTCAGAATCTGTGTCCTGTGACCAAGTCTCGTATGAGTTTCGCAATAAGGCTTGTTGAAAATGGTGAAGAATAATGATATACAAATACAGACGCAGAAGACAACTGGAAAAGTCAGCATCAACCTGACAAAGGCCCATAGCTTTGTGCAAATACGTTTGCAAGATAAGCTTCCCATCAAGGAAGGGTGCAATGGCTCCGAATATGCTGCTTGCAACAACATGAGCCTGCTTACTCTCTTCTCCCTGCGCTCTCGCAAGCGCCAGTTGTAACAGGTCCTCGGTGAGCATCTATTACGCTCAAAAACAGAAACTACGAGTGTAAATGCACGTTGGTTTTGAAGACTAGGGGAAACCATATATTAATTTATTCGTATTCCGTAATTAATAAACTAGAGTCTAAATTATATATAGGTGTCCGTGAGGGATTACCTGTTGGGGTACCACCGGCACTAGAGCCCGCATCGTCCCCAGCCAGGATTTCATGACTTCAGGGGTGCGAACACCATTTATCATACGAAAAGCTATGGGAAAAAACCAATCTGGCGCCTATGCTTCCAATTCCACCATGCACCTCTCCCACCAAGTCAGATTTGTTTCTATCGATCGATTCAATTCCTCTCCAAACACTTCCATTGTCACTCACCACAGTTTATGAATCAACATGAAATTTTTAACAGAATTACTTGATACAGATATTGGTGATTACCTCTTTCGACAAGGATGCATCTAGCAGTATTGTAGTAAGAGCCTCAGCTGCCTGAATCTGCAGCATTTGCAGAATTGAAGATCACGTTTCAGAACCACTTCGAAATCTGTTGCTTCGAACCAAACCCCAATCTCTGAGTAAAGGTGAAGAATTGGCTTAAATACAAACCTGGCAATGTTCACTGTATTCATCAAGGCTTGCAGTGAGAGTAGGAAATATGGCTTCATGCGCCTTTGTTCCATACTCATTGAAAAGGGAAGGTAGCTTCCCAATTGCGCAGCTATGCTGTAGCTGCGGAAAACCAACCAAACCAGAATGTTAAGCTACTTGTTGTTAAGATGAGCATGTTTTTGTGTTAAAAATAACCAAATTCAAGAGCATTTTTATAAGTCGGGACTGTTGAAGGATGTCATATCTGCATTCTCACACCACAGAGAATATCCTTTCAAGCATTGCAGCTTGGAAGTATCCCTTAAATGATTTCTGATCTTTCAACTTACCGGATGCGCGTTTGAAGCCAGGAATAGGCAGGCTCTTTCAATGTCACCGAGATTCTCATCCACAGTGAGTCTCTCGATCTCCTCCCCACTTCTCTCAGCATCTCTTCGATGCTGCAAGATGAGATGTGCAGAACCCATTAATTGCCAAACATTGGAAGTATGTGAAAATCTCAAAAAATATGCGTCAAATTTATCTAGACTTCATGATGGAGAAAAGACATGGTGTATGGTACCTCTTTAGTGGCATCTTCAAACGAAACATCGACCGCCTCATTCACCTCGTGCCACATCACGACATGTGAAAGCCCCTGGTTACTTTTCTGCCACGCCGGCTTACATCTCCCCACCATAGTGCAATGTGTATTAACTCACAGGCTGCGTCAAAGGCCATGGCGTCCATCCCGTCACTCTCACCCTGGTCCTCTCTGATCGTAATGCAGGCATATCTTGAACCACCACATCTTCGCTTATACAGCAATTAGGGTACGAACTGGGTGCACTAACACATCAATAATCACACAATCTGCTTACCCTAAAAACAATAAATTCCAAAGAGGACGCGAGATGCTACGGGGACCCTAAAAATAGAGTGACGAAGTCGAAATTTTCACAACGACTGCAAAATCCCCTTCATCCTACGATAGCTCAATGATCAGAATTGAATTAAGATGACCCCCCTCTCGTAATCGCAAACGTTCTACGCGAAGGGTTATGCTGATACGATCCACAGTCACGCTAGCAGATGTTGTACGTTACATTTTGGATTCATGGGTTGCTACACATGACGTCTGGAATGTTTATGAGACAACATCAACGGTGAGCCAAGGGGTGACATAATGCTGGGACTATGGGCACAGATCCTGGAACTATACGTTAACAGGAGTTATCAGACCAGAAACGAAAGCGAGCTTCATTTGGCCCATGTGCCTGCTTAGAGGAGCCCCAACCAATGGCGGCGAGACTAATTTCATTGAAGGGCATTAGGGCACACTCCTCACGATCCAGTTTCCATTCTTTTCACACCTCCCACACGCGGAATCATTTCCGCTCAGGGTGCATCTCGCTCAACATCGGTTATTGAAACAACACAACCACTTACGTACGTCCCGTTTCATACACCAACTGTCTACATGGCAGTCCTACGAGTACCTTAGTTTTTTTCTAAGTGGAGGGACTATTGATCGTCGCTTCTCAGAACATTGAATCAGACTGTGAGCAAGATTGAAACCTGATCTTTCAAACCTTCGAAGCCATTTGAGTTTTCTTTTCTATTCTCTTACATTTCAGTGCACAACAAATTACGTATCAGTTTCGAGAAAGTGGAAACCAAGGTGTATAAAAACCACTTTCGTCTTCCAAGAATTTACGTTGCCTTCGACCTTCCAAAGTTGACAACAATGATGGAGTGAGATAGTAGGCCAGAATGACCAGTTGCATCGTCCTGGAAATAGGGTCTAGCCATGAAAGTTCTGAAACGAATCGTCATTTGAACAGAATGCGGTCACTGACTCCTCCACCCTACTTTCATCCTGAACTCAAACACAGGCACTTCATACCCCAACCCACTCCACCGCAGTACACGAGACAATGGTGCCTCCCTCCTCGCAGCCCCTCTTCGTTATTGGACAACGGTTAAGCGTGTGCCGTGTATCTGGCCATAGGCACCATTGACCTCCATGTCCGCGCCTGACGGGACCAAACATAGACCCGCATTAACTCCAGTTCACCACTCCGGGCTTCGAAGCATCGATATCCCTCCGACGGATTGATGGGTTTCAACGCGGTCGGATGGACCAGGTCCAGCTGAGTCGCACTTCAATGCGCACAGCTCAGAGGACGGCTTCGCGGCGTCCACCGAAGTAGTGGCGATGGAGGGACGTAGCACTGTTGCCATCGCAGAGGTCCCAAGGTCAGCTCTTTGATTGACAGCTTATACAATTTTTTCCACCTCCAGTTCGGACTTTCGCTTTCTGCCAACCACTGTAGTTGCAACCGATAAGCACCTTCGTACTCGGGGAAAAGCGTCTTCAGTCGTGCAGGCGATCAGCGCGAATCCCGATAAGTACACGTGAAGGCAGCAGAAACACGGCGCGAGAGGTACTGCGCTGCACGATGCAGCTTCTGTGGGCTCTCATTTCGGCACTTCGAGACGGCTCATCTCAGAGTCTTGGAGCTGATCTCGTTTCTTGAGCTTTCACAACGATGCCGTCTGGCATGCCTTGCTGCATGTTATGTTTCGAAAAACACACACACACACACACACTAATACATGTATGTATGTATGTATTTAACAAAGAGAGAGAAGTTAGTACTGTACAATGTGTATTTAGTTCCAGTACAATATCTTTGTTTCTGTCAAGTTATCTAGAAGAGCATTTTACGTTTGATCATTCTATCTTTGAGACATTCAGAAGCTTTCCACGAGCATTTGTGCACATTTCGATGAATTCACATTTCCGAAACAAAATATCTTTTCATGTATTGAATGTGTGTTCACCTTCATTTGCTTTAAAATGACAATATTGAACGATTTTATCGTTACAACAAGCTATTGTAAAGATTGGTTGGGATAAGAGAAGAAAACACATGCACCTCCCAAACATACACAAACATGCTATACTTGAATAATCACTTTAGACAACTTTGGCACCACATTTTTGAGTTAGATTCAAGATTGTTGAATGTTATACATGGGATTCAAACTGCCTATGCCCCACTTCTATTGTGGGATGTAAGATATTCGTAATCCTATCTAACACAAAAACAAATGTAAAAGTATGATTGATTAGGAACTGCGCTATTTTTAAGCCATAACAAACTGTAACTTCAATGCTCTTCAATGCAGCGTAAGAGGGATAGAAATCTAGATACAGAAGGTGCATTGATTGTAGGATTTCGTTGATGCGGTTAATTGATTCAATCAATACCACTGGAAACAAAAGCGAAAGGCATATTCTTCAATAGAAAACTCTGAACCAACTATGAACTCTGATCAACAGGATTTATAACCGAGGTTGTGTCAAGCCGCAAATCTACGCACTGCCCCAGAGATAAGCATCTCGACAGTTTCGGGACAGCGAAGGCGTCGATCGGAACTCGCAATACGCGCAGTTGCAGCAATATACACTGTACAGATCAAGCGCAGGAGTTCGTGTCTGGAGTCCCTCGTGGGTTGTGTAACGCATAACGACAAGAACGTGCTTGTCATAACCCAACACTCAAGGCAAATGGATCGGGAGAGCTAGGGAAGTTTAGACCCGCGAGTACTTGGCAATCTGGAAAGTACATCTGTTGATTTTATGTACACTGAACGCGGCGGTCGATCTCGGCTTGGACAGTCACGCCCGCCATGCACTGACACCCACAAGCGGCGTGTTGTCCCAACCGAGGACAAGAATGCCATTTTCAGTTCGTAGGTTGTAACCGCTCAGAGAGAAGTAAATTTCGAGCAGAGCCCGCGCTTGGCTGATGGCCCGGGTACTGAGAGGCATTGGCCGAAACCCTGCCAGTTCCATCCGTCGCGACCAGTTCTTCATCGGCTCGTGCCGAGTTATCCGATCCTCGCCTTCGCACGCCACGATGTTGCGGATCTTCTGCCCCGTGAAGAGATGCTCCACTTGTTGGAGAGCTGGGGAGCCAGAGGGCAGCGCAGCGTCAAGAGCATCATAGACCGCGGAGTAGTAGCGCAGGCACTCGAAGAAGCGGTTGAGGAATTTCGGGCTGTTGTGATCCGCATCGTTTTCGGAGAATGCCACTACGCGAGGGTTCAGCGACCGGAGATCGCACAAGAATCTGTGAAACCGCTCGTCACCCCATGTAAGCAGCTGGTGGAACTGGTTGGCGCTGTTGATGCAGAGCACTTCCCAATCTCGCAAGTCCAGCAACCGCACGTCGAAGGACTTCATGTCGACAACCAGAGGGCAGAATTCGAAGGGAACTTGCAAATTGCGAGCGAAATCTTGTAACTTCTCCCTAGATTGCTCAAGATCATCAAGTTTCCCGATAGAAGTGATCCTTAGGTGGGGTGGTCCCCCAGGCCGCAAGGCGAGAGATTGGATGACAGCCGGCCACTGCATTCCCCGCCACCCGGTGTTCAAATCGATCACGTGAACATGTTGCGCGCCTTCAACTGCGTCGAGTATAATCTGATTCAGAGTCAGATTGGGGAATTTGATGAATGGAGTGTAGTCATAAATCACACTGAAAGAATGCAGCATGTCCAGAATTGCAACATCACCGTCCTTCTCCAGCCCCTTGTAACGCCCACTGTCAATAGAATTTGTTATCCGTGCGTATAGCGCATCCACAAGCACAGTACCAAGGCGCTGCATTGTGGTGGTACAATGACCAAGCATCCCATTGAGCCGCCTCAGAAACACATACGCCACGTCTATCTGCTGGTTGGAAATGGCTTCCGCGCATGACAGAAGGAGTTGTACGATCTGCAATCCAGTGGCGGATGTTGGCTGACTCTGTCTATTAGACGCAGTGTCCAAAACTTTGATTATTCCTCCGTCGCCAAGGAAATTCTGCTGTAAAATTGGCATGCTCTCAGCTCCAGATGACAAAGAGTTACTCTGCACCTCCATGCACCGACCTTCGTTGTAGACTTGGCCACACAGTAGCAACCCCCCCGTGTAAAGATCTGCAACATACTCCGGCCCCGACCTCAATTCCCCCAGAGTGTCAGTCTGCAACTCCGTGGCGCGCTCGTCCACCTTGTAGAGAGTTGTGATCGACGGCCACGTCGAGAGCTGTGGATGTTCAATATTCTTACCACTTTCGACAAATAAAGCCTGATGCTGCTGGTCCGCACCGGCGAGTGTATCCCGTCCGACTGGGGAGATCCTTGAGATAACCTCGGTGAAAGCATTGCTCCCCGCAGCAATTGTGGGCTGACTTCCTTGCAAGTGGAAATCCGACCCTTGGTAGTCCCCTTTCGTGCCGACGAGCGCCTGTGGCAGAGAGTATTGCACTATTTGGGGAGATACTGCAGGAAAATTGAGGTGGTTCTGCGAAGGAAGAGCAGAGGGGCGAAGAGACGAGAACCCGGGGTTGTACGATCCCACCTTAGCCTGCAACATTCTGTTGCTCAAATTCGAGTTCTGTTCCTGGATGTCACACGGCGACTGCGGCGGCTGACAACTGGAATAATCCCGGCGCGCATTATCCAAGTCCTGCAACAACTGCGGAAACTGCCGGTAGTGCAGAAGCTGCTGTTGCGGAACCGCGACACCCCAGGGATCCGAAATTGGTTGAGTACGCTGGCTAAAGATCGAGGTTAAGTCCCCATCTGCCATGTTCTCGTAAGATTAGTGTGCACACTCAGATTGTACGTCAGCCTAGTATCCTGAGTTGGTGTAATCGAGTGGGGTCTACTGTCATAACAATATCCCCCGAATTTCTACGAAGGATTCAGACAAGTCGTTCATTCCTTGGAACCTGTTATTCTCGAGTCCGTGCCTGTGCCTGGTGCTGAGCAACCAGCCAGGGCACATAGAACAAATCTGGCCCATTCCCAAGCCGCACGCAATCATCATGCACTGAATCATTCACTAGATTTGAAAGGTACAACCTTTTAAGGCCAAGCAGGACGTGGGATTTCGATGATCTTTGCCCGAACTACTGCAATCACACTAGCAAGAGTTAACATCCATTGAGGCCAACAACCACACCAGGTCACAAACGTTCATGACATAACCCTGTTAGACACATTATTCTAGAGAAATTGGATAGGATTAGAAGAATCGGGCATACTTGCATTGTGAATACAGGAAAACTGCAAACACTCATCTTGAATCTATCCAAAATATGCCCGAAGCATTCGAATAGATTAAGAAGATTGTCGACTGCAAATCATAGAACAGTGAGGCAAGAATCACCAGATGAATATACTTCTTTAAAAAAAAAATCCTTTCGGCAGAAAAGTGTCCTCTACTGGTGTGTTAACTTGAATGAGGAGACTGGAAAGAAGAATCCCTTAAGATTCCCCTGTCTTTAAGTTCATCACCATCAATAGCAGCATGCACACACCAATGAGCAGGCCGTCGCACCGCCAAACCTTGACCCCCCCATCAATCTAACACTTCTGACAACGGCGAGGGAATATTTTCAATTCAGTAAGCAGTGGAGTCAGACTCACACTGGATGCCTAGAATATTTCCCAACCCTGTTGACCATAACCTCCCCGACGTCAACTCTTCCAAACAAGAACCAGCGGATCGAACTCACCCACACATACCACACTCGACCCAACACACAGACTTCCAGGTACTGACTCCACCGTGCCAGAATCAAGCCCGCGCCGAAGCCGAACCCCTCTGCGGCTTTCATCTCGCAGTCGTCACCCAGACACAAAAACCCCGAGCAGAACCCCCTCTTTGTCGGTCCTGAACCCAATCTCGTCTCAAAACCAGGCGACGTTACAAAAACTGACACTGAAATTCGAACTGGATCTCTAAGCTTCCCACAACAACCCTCCGAGAACAGAGCAATGGAGCTCAGAACTCGGCACAAGCATCTTCCGCTCGGGAAATCTGTTGAATGCTCGGCGCGAGGTCCGGCTGGTGGAGCGGGCAGTCCACAGTCATTCCTCCCTCTCTGTGTCGTCTATTTCTACCGCGAACGTACGACAGTTGTTTTAGAAATCCAACGGAATCGCAGCGACGGAACTTGGAACTAAACTAAACTGGGCTGGATACAGTTACCGTGCACAGTGGCATCTCCTGATGTCGAACACTGTATACTTGCTTGCACCGGATCGTGCTGGACGCCGTCCGATTGTTTTGGGGCTATTTCTTCTTCTGCTTCGTCTGCCTCTCCTTCTTCGTCCTCGTCGTCATCTTCGTCGTTTAATTTGCCCAAGATTCTATTTTGTCCCTGCCAGTCGTGCAGTGTCCAAGACTCTGAGGATGGAGAGCAGGATCCGGCAAGATTGTCCGATTGTGGATGTTGGGAATTTTGCCACATGTGCGAGGAATGATACCGGATTTTTTACAGCAGGGCACCGTTTTCATCTGCTCATGGGGCGTATCTACTAGGTTCTGATTCCTGGTCCCGATTTGGATCAAAGGCTATTCGACATCCGGTGCAGGACAATTTTCCCGCTGTGGATGCTCTTCATTTGATTTTATGCAACACCAAATACTAAAGCAGCCTTTTTTTCTATCTCTGTCAGGGTACTTCACAATGGAAAAATTAGAGATTAAGATGAATAGTGTGAACTAGGGTACACAAATATAAAAAAATCTCATTTATTTAGAATATACAAAGTATTAATATACAAAGGTTTACGATTTGCTGGTTATTTCCTGAAACAAATATGAATTCAAAAAGAAAAATTGGTTGTTTATATATATAGAAGTGTGTACTTGACTTTTCTGGACATGTGCAAGCATTAGAGTAGGTGGTTTTGATAATGAATGCATGCGTGGATGGATGAATGGAAGAACCGTACGTTTAGGCACCAAGATTTTTTTTTCTTTGAAGTTTACAGTATGCTAAAAATACAAAGTTGCATCCTTGTTCTTTTTAAATGAATCTGACTTACTGTCACGATGTATGGTTTAAAGATGCTATATCAAATGGTTTTTAAACTCGATTCATTGTATGCATGCCATGTTAATCACGTACCATTGGTTTTTGCGGCAAAAATATAAGTAATTTTATCACTATAATTGGTTTCTAATAACTTATAAAAATCGAAATTCTTTTTTGTTAAAAATTATGTGTAAGAATGAATCTATATACATATGTAAGAGTTTTTTATATATATAAAAAAAAAAAAAAAAAAAAAAATCAATATACATACATATGATTTATTTTTTAAAAAATGTTTGTTGAAACGTTCAAAAACCTCATAAAGACATAATAAAGTGAAATAAAATAATAGAAAAACAGCTTACAATATTTTTATGTTAAATTATAAGTGGTTATGAAGGATAAATGACTCGGATCTCAAATAAGTACAAAATCTTATCTAAAGCATATACACGCCGAACTCTATAAATAGACAATGCATACGAAGCATCAAAATCTGCCTGCCAAGGAATACTTAAAAACATGTCTAGGCATGTCCTTCAAAACTACAAGAATAAACAAACAAACGAAACCGAAGCACACCCCTAAGTAGGCCACAAGGCGCAGAATAGAGATCGGACACACCATCGTGGAATCAGGCTTTTCTCCCTTGCTTCAGCATTCGGTAGAGACTCGGGCTTGAAATGGATCCCCGAAGCGAAGCCTACCCCCTGCACCACCGTCTTCTAAGTAGGAAAATAAACCAGCTTTCTGGTGGACTTGGGGCACACATCGGAGATGCAAGATGGGGAGTTCGTAGCCGGAAGGATAGGTGATGGTCGGATGGTCCGATGGTCCGATGGTCTGAGGGGTCTGTCCCAGTTAACCGCAACGCAGGTCTCGTCGGACTGGCTGGCTGGCTGGGCTAGTGGCGATGATGCAAGCCATACACGTCGCAGTGCCCACATCGCCTTCCTGCCTGCCTGCCCATCTACTTCCTCGTTTTTCTTTCTGTTTTGTGCTGTCTCGAGAACATCGGCGGGTTTGTTTTGTCTGGTTCGGTTAACCGTTGGAGCCGCATCTCCGCAGCTCCGCGGCTGGCTTCGGACAGTCCACTACTTGGGACTGTGCAACTGCTGCCAGCTGCGATGTGCTGTGGGGTGCCCACTTATCCTCGCCATCGTCACTGTCGTTGAACTACTACGTCAGCAACGGCAAAAAGGGGACGGAACGGGACGGACAGAAAGGAAGGGAACGAACATAATGGAAGAGGACGGACGGAGCGGGAGGGAGGGATCCGACGGAACGGGGGGGGGGACGAACGAAGCGATGGATGGCGGTGACGACGGATGAGGAGGTTCCGTTTGCTGACTGGGAACGTACATCCCACGAACACAGTTTCACGCATTCGAGTATTCATATATATATATATATATATATTAATATCGTCATTCATTCATTCTCTCAAGATGTATTATGTCAGACGAGCGGAAGTCTATTCTGCTGAACTGTTGTATTCCTTATTTGATGTGTTGGTTTATGTTTTTATTTATATTATATTGTAAAGATTTTTATTCTTTTGTATTTAGTGTGTTGACGTATGGATTTTGTTAGGAGAATGATTATAATTGGCATGATAAATGTTTATATTACACTGCATTTTTGTTTTTATCATTCGACCATGCCTACCAAACATGCAAGCTTTAAGGTACTGCAACCTATTCTCAACAACCTCCTCCATTTTGACCTATAGGGTGGTGTATTTTTTATCAACTTGACATGATAATAATGACCAATTTTGATATCTTATGGTTTCACATTACTTAATTCACATTTGACCTCAACTCTATGGTTCCATTGAATAAGAAATTAAGAATTTCATGCAAACTCAAAAAAAATTGTCAGGAAACCAAGCATTCTTGATTTTATAACCAATCACTGGTTGGAATTAGGTTGGTCTATATGTTGGATTTGTGTCAAATATGATCTTGAGCTAAAACATTAAAAGTAAATATATTTTTGAGCAGAATAATATGAAAATACCTAAATCCCCCCGATTTCTATTTTCCTACACAAGATTTTTTAGAAAACAATTTCGTACACATGCAACAATTATGCTAAAATGCTTAAATTATTAGAAATTGATCAGTTGCCTTAATCTTCTTGAAGTGTTGGTGAAATTTATTAGCATTTATATTTTATGCGGGCTACAAAAATCATTTGTCTAAATATTTCATAGTTAACTTTAATATATTACTATCTTTATTCTACAAATCTATACTAAGATAAAAATTAAATATTAAATCCTTAGATAGGGAAGAAAAACAAAAACAAAACAAAACAAAATATAGTTACGATTTAGAATTTGTAGATTAATATATATATATATATATATATATATATATAAAACAAGAAAACAAAAAATAATGATAATTATTTTTATAACTAATTTTTTTTATTTTTTTTGTATAATAGACACTTTTGCAAGAAAAAAAATTACCACTCTAAATTAGATGAAATAAAGCCAACACTTTTTTAAGAATAAATAAAAAATAAAAAATATGTAATCTTTAGTAAATTTTATAAATATTATAACAACTAAGAGATGAAAATAATAAGATTATAATTCTACAAGACCATGTTACATATACAAATAAATAATAGTGATAATAATAATAATTAGAAATGAATTAGAGCCAAAATAAAATGGATTGCTAAAAGACATTTATGTTCCAAAGAGTTAATTTATAGAATGAAATAAAAGAGATTAAACATATGAATGTCTAGCCTTTTAAACAATTATGATATAAGCACAAAAAATACTAATAAAATTTAAAAAAATAACTTGGAATATTTTACAAAAGTGTATAAGAAGAGAAAAATAAACAATCACATATTCTGTTTTATAGATACGGTCAAAGTATTACAACCAAAGAAATTTAATTCGAAAACTATAAATTCTATCTAAGAAGTACAGTTTAAAAATAAATTAAAATAAATAAATAAATAAATAAATAAATAAAGACATAAAGGCATCATATATTTGGTCAAGAATAAGGTCAATTATTTGGTCAATTATTTTATAATCAAACTATTAGAAAAACTACTCTAATCAATTATTGGAGGCCTTTCAAGTCTCGTCTTCAAAAAAGAGGATAGAAGACTAGTCATAAATTAAATACTAATTATTCTTCTAAACACCACTTAGGAGATGTTTATAAAACTATTACTACTTAGAATCCAAACTATCATATTTGACCTAATTGATCAAGTCTAAAATTCTTTCATGTACAATATATAATTTACAATATAACATTAGTTGACAAAGCTATATATTAAATTCGAGAACTACATATTAGAAGAAAACATTTCACCATAAAAACAATAAAAACAATACAAAATAAAATCAGTCTCTTATCAAATTAAACTTTATTAAAGCGTATAACGGTATTTAATAGGATTTTATGTATAAACCAATAGGTGCACTAGGATATGGAGCTAATTATATAAGAATCACCATATATATATATATATATATATATATATATATATATTTTGTGGTGCCAAAATAATAATAAACATAAACGATATAAAAATCTCTAAATTGTTTCTTTTAAAAAGATGTAATATAAGGGTGTCAACTAATTCCCTATTTATACATCAATATTAATGAGGTATTAAATTTCAGATCAAACTTGTCTAAAAACTATTAATTGTGATAACTCTAAAACAATCTAGAACTAAAAGTCATTCAGTTGGTAGTCAATATAATGGCAATTCAACAATCTTCTTGAAGGACAATAAAACAAATGTGAACACAAGCATATTGGTATTGGAAACTTACTTTGCATCCTAAAATTTTAACATAAATTTTTAAAAAATTAATAGCCATATAATATTCAAATACACTTTAATTAAAGTAGATAAACAAGTATCAATAGACATAGGCTAACAAAAGCAAAATACAAGCATAACATTGGTGATATTACTTAGATAAGAAGAGAATTCTTCTCTCATTGGCAAACTTTTGATAAAAAAAAGTCTAAAAGAAATTAACTTATGGAATTCCATATAGTTTTATTTTTTAATAAATATTAATTTTTATTTTTACATTATTAATTTTTATTTTT